GATATGTCCCTCGTAGTTTTATAAACGGAGTTCATAGTATTAAAAAATATATGTTTGTATTTTGTTTCTACATTTCGGGGTGTTCGCTTTTCATCATTTTGCTTAAATTTAAATGCAGTGTTATTTTTCAAGTTCTTTACTCTTTTTATAATGGCTTACAGGGATGAACATAATAAAAAAGAAAATTGTATTTATAAGTATAAATGTACGTTATACCAGTCAGTATTAATATTTTTTTTGTTAATATGATTATAAAATACTGCAACAAAGAATTTGTAGTCTTTTAACGTGAATACTGAACATTGCTTTAACAATATAATGTTATTTTTTTAACATAATCTTTATATATATAATTCTTCTGTGAGTGTGTATGTCACTGAACTTCTCTGAAACGACTGGACCGATTTTGATGAAATTTTTTGTGTGTGTTCAAGGGGATCTGGGAATGGTTTAGATTCACAATTTTGTCCGCTGGTCAATGTTTTTTTAATTAATTTTTAATTTATTAGTAGTTGTTGATTTTGGAATGTTTTACATTGGATCCGACAGACGGCGCTACCATCGCAGTGTCAAATATTCGAATTTGTCCAGAATGTTTTAGCTTATTAAAAAAAGTTTGAAATTTTCAAATTAAAGACGTGTACACAGGACAACGTCTGTCGGGTCCGCTAGTTTTTTTTTATAAAATAATAGCACTTCAATCAAACGTATTCGTTTGGAAAATTTTATTAGGCGCATGAAAAAACTTAGACGACGTAATAACAAAGAGGTTCATTAACATCACAATAGGTTTCAAGGACCACGCTGTCCCCTACCAACATAACTCGCAAAAAATAGTCACTTCATACGTGTTGATTGTGTTTATTACTAGCCGGAGGCGAGCGGCTCGACGAAATAATTTCCCCAAATGACGTTCAGACATCAAACGACGGGAAGCGCCGGTAATTGCCCTCTCGCGATATAAATTGGCGGAGTGTACCACCAGTGGGAGGGCTTGTGGTATTTACTTTTGGTCTTCGAATCTACATTACAAACTGCTTCACATGTGGAATGTAAATTTAATTTTAGTTCTAGAGAAAGTTACATAGTTTTTACATTGATCCGTATTCGAATTTCGTTGTTGTTATTTTTGGAGCAATTCAAAATATTAATCAATAGTCAAATAATTTAATGTAACAAGTAAATATATGATATGAAACTAAAAATAAATTTATATATAAATATTAAAGATGCGATTTATAGACCCAAATTGTGTACACTCAACTGAAATGTGAAGAATCGAAAGTGAATATTGATCGAGTTTTTACTACAATTTTTAATCGAGTTTTAAGAGTAGGTATAGTAACAGTGGTGCAAATGAGGTTTGGCGATAAAATCCGCCCGCCCAGCGACCGCGACGCAATTACTGCGCAGCGGTGGGGCGGCGCAGGTTGTTCAGGAATTTATGATGGGCGCGTGCGTACCTATACGGAGCTCATACACAGCCCGCTGTCCGTATGCATCGATAAATGTGGTTAAAGGTACATCAATATTATGAAAAACATCTTAATATAGCGTACTCGATTGTAGTATAGAAGAACGTGAATGATTCTTAATTTTTATGCATTATCATAAGGTGCAAACTAGTAAGTGTTCAGTTAAATTCCCCTTAATAGCCAAGCCACCGTTGCCCATATAATCCTCAATTGCAGATGCGTTGCTTACCTTTGAGGGACGGAGTAGGTAGAGGACGAACAGAAAAAGGATATTTCCCTTTTCTATGCGACCTTTCCTTATAACAAAGGGGTCGGAAGTTAGAAATGCAGAATTATTGCGCACGAGACGGCGTATTCAATAGACGTTTATGCTGATATCTACCACTGTTGAATTCTTGTAATTTTTAGTACTTGTTTAATAATATTTCAAGCATGTTTGGTTAGTGAAGTTCTAAGTTGCTATACGTCACTGACATGACAATGGAAGAGAAATAACGGTTTAACACGAGCCAATGACCGAGCGCTATTCTGCGTCGCGAACGTATTTGCATATGTCAGCTGTGAGCGTTTCATTTCATTATCTAGTTAGGGTTATGACCAAATGCACTTGCATATCATGCACCTATTAATGTGAATCTACTAATTTCCACTTAGAATAATATCTACTAGCTGTCGCCCGCAACTCCGTCCGCGCGGGATTAAAAAAAAAACACATAATTAGTAGCCTATGTGTTCTTTCAGACTATGTTCTATATTTATGCTAAATTTCATCGAGATCTGTTCAGCCGTTCCAGAGAAATCTTCAAACAAACATCCATCCATACATTCAAACATGCGCATTTATCCAATGGTAAATTATAAAATACTTTTTTACTTAGCCATTTAAAGAGCTGTTAAGTGCGATTAAAAACAAGCAAGGAGGTACTTTTATGTAGTAAGATAACTCTGATTACCTATATATGTAAAGTACGGTTCTTTGCAATCTAATTGTCAAAATTAAGGCGTTGTTGCTATATGAGGTAGCATTGATTTGAGGAGAGGAGTGGCTAAACATCATCGGTCATTCCATTACGCATCCGTAAGCAAAGTCCGATAACCGATATCGGCTCCGAATAGAGCTCGAGGGCCCTTAAGCTATGTCCGACTTTTAGGATTTACCAAACTCCGAGTTTACATCTAGCAAATACGATTGCATTTGAAGAATGATCAGCCAATGCTGTACAGTATTTCTCTTTCACTAAAGTACACTCTTCACCATTACCAATATATTTGAAATCAAATAATAGACAGATTAATGATTCCTTGATCAGTCTTTGTTAGTTTTCTTCTTGAAAAATCATTTAAGGAAATAAATCAAAAAAATTGAAAAGTTATTACAATCTTTATTCAGTACTAGCTATTACCCGCGTCTCCGTCCGTGCGGAATTAAAAAAAAACATAATTAGTTGCTTATGTGTTCTATATGCCAAAGTTCTGGAGATAACTTAAAACAAACATCCATCTATCCATCTAAACATTCATATTTATAATAATAGTAATATTAGAATTATCCAATTTAAATGCTTTAAAAATATACATACATAAGTTCTAACAGAGATGTATGTATGTAAAATAACCTTGAGGCGGGTAGAAGTAAACAAATTTTAATCAGCACCCTCCGGGGCAGGCAAACCGAGTTACGTTCCTATTTACATAGTAAGTGAATATAAGTCATGGGAGATTCGGCCCAATCTTGTCTTGTTTATTCGCTTAATAGCGATAGTGAATACGTTATAACCAACTCGCTAGTTATAACGTATTCACTGCTAAATTAGTTAACTACTGCGAGATAGAGTTATACCACAAGTGAATTACTGTTTAGTTTAATTCTTGTTTTAGTTATTGCGATATGTTTTGTTAAGTGGTTTTAGTTTTATTTTTGAATTTTTCTTTATAATTAATAAACACATATCGATATATCTGTTTATTGCATTTCTGAAAACACATTTAGTATTAGGTTTAGTGTGGTTTAATTTGCATAGGTTTATGAAAAGTGTTCGACTAATCGCGCTCGTTGAATTTCAGCAACAAAAAAAATCTACAAAAATTGGTCGACAATTTTTTAAGGCATAACTTTCGTGATCCATCACATTCCTTTT